AAATCCCATTAGAGAGCGTCAGGGAAGGGAGCTGTGAGGGGTACCCCTGCTTCCTATCCAAAGGTACTCAGGCAGCTCAAGGCAGGAGTGGAGCCAATTAATTCTGCCTGCTGAAAAGTCAAGCAGATTTTTGGCACCTTGCTGGTTAGGCAATTGCTTGCAGCAGGTTTTCCTGCGGTGAGCGCTCTTTTTTTGTAGAGAAATCCCCCCCCAGGTAGTGTACCAGGGAAATGACAGCCTGGAAGGACCAAAAATCCCGTCCTTTGAAAAATGGAAAAGCGATTTTGCTCTGCTGCTGGGTGGAGATGAGAGGGAGAGGAGAACGGGGAGGGGTAGCGCATCCGAGCACCTGCAGCGTGAGCCGCGAGCTGCTCCAAGAGGGAGAATTTCCTTTTGGCTGCAGAAGGAAGGGCTGGGAAATGCTCCTGGCCGGGTTGCTGCAAGTCCTGTGTTTGTGTGTGGATTTTTTCCTCCGTTGGCAAGAGAGGTGCAGCCCTCGGGAGCTCACCTCATTGCCCTCCCTCTTGCTCAGAAGCAAGGGAGCAGCTGAGGTCCCTCGGGCACCGTGCCTGCAGGGTGACGGCTCTGCCAAAGACCGTGCATTGGCACCAGGTTTGCATTTTACCCTGGAGAGAAAAATCTTTCTCTGAGCAGGCAATAACGAGGTGAAAAACCTTGATTGTGAATTCTAGCTTACATCTGGCGGCGAGAAAACTGGTGCTTGCCATGGAGGCAAAGTGATGAGAGCAGGGAGGAGAAAACCTCAAAACGTGAGTGTGATTTCAAACCGTAGCCCACGGCCACAGGCGAGGCAGCTGTGGCTTGTGTGTTACAACACTCCTGCTCCTCCCGGTGAGTCACTGAGCCAGGAGCAGAGATTCCAGGAATTTTGGGTTTTAACTGATAGGAAAGGGGGGAAGAAGCAGGCAGAGGCTTAAAAATGACCTAAAAATACCATTTAGAGGTGGACATCTGCCACGAAGCTTTGAGTGGGGAGGTCCCCAGCGTTCGGGCTGCTCTCCTCCAAATGCCACCTTGGGAGAGGTCCCAGGACCGAAAAGGAAAGTGAAAGGTGGCAGCCGTGCCCCTTTCCCCCTGAGCGATACTTTTTGCCCTGGCCAGCTTGCAAAGAGCAATGGACTGGAAAGGAAACTTCATCTCCTGGTGGCGGTGCCGGGACGGGGACACCCCGAGCTGCCCCACGTGCTGCTGCGTGACCGTCCTCCTCCCGGAGCCCCCTGCCTGCATCTGGACCCGTCCCAGCTGCCGGGGGCCCCCGGGGGATGTGGGGTTTGCCCAGAAGTATGAGCAGGCATTCATAAAACTACTGGGAGGTGGGGGTTGTGAAAGCCCAGCACTTTTTTTTTTTTTTTTTTTTTCATCTAACAAGTGACCTTTTTCTTTCCTTTTATTTTCACTTTCAATCTCTCGCCTTCCAGAGGTCAAGTGCTTTAAAAAAAAAACAACTTGGCAGAACTAAAGAGGCAGGATTAATCCCCCTAATTACTTTATCTTCCTGGCCACCGCGTCGTCTTCCTCTTGCCAAGGTCAGTAATTTTCCTAAACCATCCTATTCCAAAATAACACAAGTCAGACCCCGGAGAGCCCGCGAAACTGGAGTTAAAAAGCACAACCTTTGCACGAACACCCTCATGTCTCCTCGCTGTTGTCTCTCCGTTCGGAGAATCTTCACAGTTCTTGTTTTTAAAAAAAAGGAAGAGCGAGTCTGATGTAAGGGCAGGACTCTGGGAGCTGGAGATTTATGGGGGAAAAAATACCGAGTATCATACAACCCCTGGTAAAGAAACCACCTTGCCAGCAGCCCTGCGGTGAGCATCCGTCACTTTGCTGCTTGAACATGGCTCGTTGCATAGGGTTGTACCCATCTGGGGCAAGGAGCAGGCCATAAACCCCACCAGCTATACGTGCTGCTCTCATTAATTAGCCTGCCCGCCACCCTGATTAATTAACCCCTGCAGTAGGATGCGGTGCCTCTTATCAGGGCTCGCTGGAAACACATCCTCCCCTCTGCAGTTAAACAGTAACGAGCTGCCTGGGCAGTGGATTTCCAGGAATCTGACGGGCTAAGGTCATCCCGAGGGATGTGGCACAGGGCTTCTGCTCCGTGCCATGGGACAAGGCTGAAGGGGAAGTTTTGTGGGGGTACCAGCTGTGGCTGAGCTCCCTTAAGGCCAGGTCCTGTGCAGGGGATGCACCTCGGGCTCCTGCCTGGGGTCCTGCAGCCCCATGGCTACAGGTTTATAGGGAAAATCAAGACGCCTGTAGCATTGAGTGGAGGGGATTTGAGCCTCCAGGTTTCTGAAAGCCCTTTTGTTGCTGCTAATGGGATGGCAAGTGGTGTCCCCATCATCCACCTGAACCCCTTCAGGTCGTGCCTCCAGCTCAGGGCTGATGGCAGCGAGCTCTGCCTCGGGAAATGCTGCCCTTCAGGGTTATTTTCCCATCCATCCCTCTCCTTCCATAGCTCCTCATGCTTGTGAAAACAGCTATTAATCTACCTCCAGCCTTCTTCCAATTATTTAATACCTGTATTTTATTCCTTCTCGTTTGTCTTTGTAACAACCTTTTTTTTTTTTTTTTTCCTGGTCCCTCTCATCAGCGTTTTCCCAAGCTCTTGATTGTTTTCTGATTGCTGCAATCCTGCACTATCTTCTGGCCCTGAAGCACGGCTCCCCAGAGGGGGAGGCTCATGAATTTATACAGCGACATCACACAGGCTGTGTAAAGCCTGGGGCAGGATTTTTGGAGCCTACAAGCTCGGTGTCCCCCAGGTTTCCCCCTCCCTGCACCTCTGACTCGGCAGGGCATTTCTCTCTTCGTTCGTCAAGATGAGTTTCAACCTGGGAGGAAATTTTCCCCATGGTATTAGTTTCTTCTTCTTCTTGCAACTGAAGCACGGTTGAGAATTCGTTCCCGAAACTTCCTTGGTTCTAATTTTACATGACGGGGCTGTCAGAAAGAGCGCGCAGAGAACCGAGCTCTTTGGGTGGCTGCTCTGCCTTACAGGGGGTTTTGGGCGAAGGGAAACTCGGCGCCCGCTCCCCTGATCATCAGCCCCACATTTCCTACCTCGGCTCTGGGGTATTTGTGTGGCACAGACTCAACCTGGGCCCCAAATGATGTCATTTCGGTTCTCCCCAAGCAGCTCCTCCACTCCTGTCACTTGGCAAGGACGCTGCCTGCAAAGCAAACAAACGCTTCGGTGAGCTGGTGTCCGGAGAGGCATCTGAAAGGCAGTCAGTATGAGGAAACGCACCGGGGTGCTGGGAAGGAACGCGTTCCCTGGCAGCTTATTCATCTCACAGAGACATCCTGGACCGAGGTTTGGGATCGGGTGAGGTGGGAGCCAAACTTAGCTCTGTGACAGGTCCCTTCAAGCACCCCATTGTTCTCCTCCAATGACTTGTTCCACTTTCTGCCCAGGATTAGAATTAAAAGAGTCACAAAATGTAACGAGAGAGCTCGTTTGTGAAATATTCTGCATTTTTTGAAGGGCAGAGCTGTGCAGTAAATACCGATGGCTGGATCTAGATGTATGCACCCGTGTCAGGTTTGGCCACAGGTCAGGGCTCTGGTGGGATTGCAGGGATCCAGATTTGGGGCTGGGGCCACTGATTTGTCCTGACTTCTTCCCCTAGTTCATCCCACTTGAAAAGACCAGGTAATTGCAAGTTCTGCTGCTGGTTAGAACAAAAACCAACACTCCCTTAACAGGTTCCCCAGGAAGGATGCTCAAGGTCAGGATGGGAAAGTGGTTTCCTCCATGACTCATTCTTTATCAGTCTCATCTACCTCCCCTCGGTGTAGGATAGGGCAGCTCCCTCACCGAGCAGCAAAGATTGACATGGGCTGGTTGGTTGGCCATCAGGAGAGGCCCAGAAAAAATAAATGAAGATGCAAACATCTCCTGAAGGGTTTGGCACCTGGAGGTGGAGTTTGACCTCTGCTGTATGACTTCTGCAGCGTGAATTACCTGGAGAGCCCCATCCCTCTGTGCTGGGCTCAAGGTCCTGCTTGGCAAGGTGTAAATGCAACTTACTGCCTGCAAACAGCAATCAGTGTCTGTCTGCTCCCAAAATTACTGGGTGGGAGGAGGAACTTTCCCCATTTGGACTGCTGTTTGGGGTGATGGTCAACATTTTTCTCCCATGGCAGTAGCACCACAACACCAACACGGGTCTGGCTCCATTTTTTCAGCCCAAACCCTGCCCACAGGAGATGTCCCCTCCTGCCCGACGAGTTTTGTCCCCTTTCCTGGCCCCGTGGTGCACCAACGGTGCAGGTCACGGGACGACCTGGCACAGGAGCACACCCACAGCATCTCCTTGCGGTCCAGTTTCACCTTTTATTTTTTTTCGGAGAGGGCAGATTATGACCATAAAAGGGAATAACGGAATATCGGGTGCGGAGCCCTGCCTCGTTTGGCCGAGCACCAATTCGTGATGGTTTCGGGGGAAATAACCAGGTCGGAGTCATTTTCCTCTCCCCCCCAGGCCGAGAATGAAAACCATGCGACAAAACCGCGTGGTTCACCATTGAAACCAGGGCAGGACTTTTTTGTGTCGGCACCTCCTGTTGTTCTTGGTTCCACCTGCCTGAAACTGCAGCGGGGCCCTCACTTCTGCCTGGGCACGGCCGCACGGAGCCGCCGGTTCCCATAAAACCAGCTGGTGCTATCTAGGGTGACATCTCCCAGTGGTGAACTGGGGGGGGTCTGGTGGTTGGGTTGGCCAGGAGCCACAACCTGGTGGCCTTGGAGACCCAAGAACCTGCTTCTTGTGCTTGTGTATCCACACCTCCATGTCCTAAAGCCAACAGAACAAATTCCCTTCGTGCTTGAACATCCCTTCCACCCAGCTGCCTTGTCATGGCCCTCGCCAGACCATTCTTGTGGTTAAAACCAGAACTTTAATCTCCGGAGGTATTCGCCTAAAATGTGCCACCGGCACTGAATTACAGCCTTTAATACACCTGATAAAAAGGGCTAAGAGGGTTTCCTGGAAACCTTGACAGCCTTGAATTGGGAGCAGCTGTTGGCGACCAGCAGAGCCCTGGTAAGCAATAAAGCCTTCTTCCTGTTTAATGATTACCCTTCGAAATCTCACGGCCGACTGAGAGCACTTGTGACCGGGAGCTTAGCTAGGTATCAGCTTCACCCTTCTGGGAAGGCCGCACCCAGATAAATTCCTCGCTCCTCGCCTTCTCCTGCTGAGACCGACGTGGCGTTAGGGCCCACGCTGGGTCCTGTCTCCGTTTCCAAGAGGACAGCCCCGGCACCACCCTGAGCACACAAGGCAGGGCAGGAGATTGCCACCGGTGCAGGGCGAGCCCCTGCCTGGGAGATGCCTCCGGGGATGAGGCAGCAGCCTCCAGGCTGGTCTGGCTGCTGGAGGAGGTTTGTGTTAATCACCCTGCAGAAGAAGTGGCTCTGGCAGCCTTGGGTTCCTTCCTTAAACTGCAATGGGATTTTTTGCCCCCCTTCCCAGGCAGCGTCGTGCTGATCATCTGCTCCTTTTGGGATCAGCGAGGACGGCCGGGATCAAGGGAGATGCACCGTGCAGGCAGCTCATGTTTATATATAACACACCATATATTATATATAACATAATATAACCCCAATCCTCCTCGCCTCCACCCTTCCCTCCCCTTCTCCCTTCTTTCTGGGCAGCTCCTTGCAGAAAAACCACGGCTGCTGGTCCTGCACCATCACCCCCCCTCTCCGCCAGGCTCCTTCCTCTGCTCTTGCCCCGCTCCCGGGTACCTTTGCTCTCCCGTGGCAGCAGTGCCCCGGTTCTCCTCGCTCCACCACCCGCTACGATTCCTCTCGCCGTTACCACTGCAGCTATTTCTTCAAGCTGCCACCGCAGCGGTGAGCCCCGGGACCTATCGCAGCATCGCAAGCCATGGCCCCACAAAACCCGAGGGGAACCACGGCACCTTACTCATTGGCACCGGGGCGGTGGTAGCTCATCGCCTCCTTCCCGCTGGGCAGCGGTTTGGGGAGAGGAGGAAGAGATGGCTGTGCTCATTTTGGGTGTCTGCTCTGGGGGATGCTCGTCACCGTGGCCACCAGCCCAACAGCTCGGGTTTATGGGTTATCTGCCCAGGTTGTTTTTGGAGAGCCAAGATTTGAAGATAGCATCTTCTGCACGGGAGGGACAAAGGTGGCGTTGAATGTTTGTTATCAGTGTGGTTCGGGGTAACACCGCTGGTAAAGTGGCTCCGAAAACTGCAGCAGGAGGCTGGGGAAGCCAACGTGACCAAAGGTTTGTGCGGTGGTTTGCTGCCGGCTGCATTTTGGTACGTAGAACTGAGTCATCGGGTCTTTGGGTTTAAGCTACGCCGGTCTGCAGGATGCATGAAAACACCTGCTGGGAGAGCAGCTGAAGTCCTCTGGGAGCTTTGGATACATGCATGTCCTCACAGTACGCCTGGGGTAGGGTTGTGCTGACGTCCCCACTGCGCAGGCAGCAAGACGAGGTGGGAGGACACAGAGGGGTTCACCCACGGCTGCAAAAAAAGCCCATGGCAGAAGCTCAGCTCCCACTGCAGCCGGGCTCCAGTCTCCCAGACCATAGATTTCCTTCCCAACCCATTGCTCCTCACCCCAAACCTGCTGCAGGGAGCAAGAGGGGATTGCACAGATGCCTCGGCTGCATTTTGGAGACCCCCCAAGGACACCTGCCTTGGTGCCCCGTGATGCCAACAAGCCCAAGCCCTGAGCACAGCAGCTTTCAAGGGTAATTCAGAGCTTGCCAAGGACAGCACCCTGCTGCAATGGGTTGCTTTGCCCTGCTGGGATGGGGACATCGCCACAGCCCTGCAGCGACAGAGCCGAGGAAGCAGCAGCAGGGCAAAGTACAACAGGCAAATGAGCATCGAAAAAAAAAAAATAATTAAAAAAAACCAAAACCCCAAAGGCTAACTACACGACAGCGCGGCTGGGCCCCTGTTCCTGTATTTGCCTCGCTGGGGGCTATCTTTACAAGTCGCCCTGCTGCCAGATGTTCCCCCATTTGCATGCGGGGTGAAGGGAAGGGATGCTCGCGGGTCCCAGGGGTGCTGGTGCCGGATGGCGATTGCCACCCAGTGGCTGTGCCTGTGCTGGCTTTCACCCTGCGAGCTCCCTAGGAAAAAAAAAGCCTCATTTCTGCAGGCACCGGGCTTGGGGCAGCTGATTCCCTTCATCAGGGATCTCTGTGCAGGGCTCAGAGCTGTCTACTGCATGGTTGGGTTGGTATTACCCATAAAAAGCATGCGTAATAAAAAGATTTACTCCTTTTGCCTGCAGCAAAGCTGCTCTTAACCCCCACAGCAAGCCTTCTTCCCCTTGTTTCCCCTATTAAATGGTAAACAAGCCTCACCTTCGCACAGACACCTCCCCCAACATGCTTAATTGACCGTGGCCCCTTTCAAATCAGTGGGCTGCACCCTGCTCTCGTTAATGAAGCTCATTAAGGAGAGGGTGCTGGGGAAGGAAGTGCTTTTGCTGTGTTTATCTGATGCTTCAGTGGCTGGAGCAGAAGGTCGTGCACCTTGCAGGTCCCATAACCTACGTGCTGGGGCTGTGTGTGTTTACCAGGGGGCAGAGCTGCTTGTTTGTTCCTTTTTTATCATTTCTGCTCTAGCTACGGGGCCAGTCTATTCCATAGTGTGGTTTGAGACGTCTGCACCGCATCCCTTGAAAACGGGCTGAGTGGGCTGTAGCTGTCTGAGCCTGCCTGCAGAATTTCTCTAAGGCTTGCTATGGAGCAGAAATTACTCAATTCCCCAGCTGTGGAGAGACAACTGGGGAATCGAGCTGTCTGTTCAGGTGCAATATCACCTTTTTTTTATTTCTTGCACAGAATTTGGAAGGACCCTGGTGCTCTGTGTGGGTTTAACCCTGTGCCCAGAGCCATGAGGCTCAGCTCTGCTCTACCTCCCAGCCCAAACCCTGGTGCTGGTCCTGAGCAAATGCCTAGATAAGATTTTTTTTTTTTTATTTTTTTTTTCTGTGCAAAGCTCCCCGTGCTCTGCAGCAGAGCCTGGTCCCTCCTGCAGGACAGCGTTCGTGGGAACTGCTCAGCCACTGCTAAACTTTCTCTCAGTGCAAAGCTTCTTCCCTGTTGCTCCTTCATGTCAGCATTTAGTTTACGCTTGGTTCATCTGGAGGAAAAAAAAAAAAAATAAAGACAGTAGCAGTCTCCAAACCATTTCCTCTTTCTGAGATGCGTTGCTGAGCCAGAAGACAAACACTGCTGGTTGGGTTTGACAGAGCTCTGACCACGCATCTGCTCCAGCTCCTGCGGGCTGGGTTTTGGGGGGGGGGTGAAATGAAGATTTTTGTTATATAATAACCCAGGGCTGCTAGAAATGTGAACCAGAATGGTAGTGAGGAAAGCAGGAGCCTGTGCGTGCTGGCTGGGGCTGGCTGTAAAATTGCTGGCTGGGGAAATGGGACCCGGGCACTGTCCTGTGCTCACTGGGGGGTTGCTGGAGGCATCTTTTTGTGCTGTCCGGGCTCAGCTCCATTGTCCCAGGGGAGTGAAAGCTCTTTGGTGGCTGCAGATGGGGCCTGGGGTAACTTGGCTGGGGTGCACAAGCTGGTGCTGGCCACACTGGGACCAGAACTGGCAAGGCTGGATCAGTGCACGCACCCCTGGCCGCCTCGTGCAGAGGGATTTATCTGCCTGGGACAGGCTGGAGGAGTTTGTGTTTGTCTCAAAAGCAAGCTCCTTCGCGAAGCCTTTGTGCCAAAGCAAGCACGCAGCAGTGCTTAAAGCAGGGGGATGTGGGCGAGACAGAGAGTTGTGGATAAAGTTGGGTGAAAAGATGGAGAAGAACATAGGGAGAAAGCTAGGAAGGCACCACTTGGCTTGGATGCATGTCTTGGAAAGTGTCTTTCGACAAAAGAGCTTCTTGGGCACGGTGCAGGCTCTAACCAGGACAGACTGGGCACCTCGGGCAATATTTTCTGATGCGCATGGCCAGGAAGGCAGCCCCGCATGGGTGCACAAGGGTAAGGAAAAACCTCCCCAAAACATTCCTCTGCACAGGGACAGCACCACCATCCTCACCAGCAGCTGGGGTTGGTGCCTAGAGCAGCAGAGGGGAGATGGCCTCGTGAGGCTGGACCCAATTCCCAAACCCCGTCCGCATCGGGAGCCCTGCGCCATCCTCTTCCCATGGGACACGGCTCCTGCTCCAGGGGACGGGATGTGAGCTGGTTCAAAGAGCTGCTGTGGCCAAAAATAACCCTTCCAAAAAGGCCGATGATTTTTTTTCAGGGGCTGGATCAGCTCCCCAGGGTGGCTCGGAGCAGGCAAGGGGATGGGAATGTGCTGCAGAAGGGCTGTGGCAGCCCAGCTTCAACTGCAATGGATTAAGTTTATCAGAAACCACACCCAAAGAGAAGCTGATTTCCCTCATTTGATGAGTTTTGCTCCAAAAGCCTTTTCTGGGCCTGCACCTGGAGTTGGGTGACCGGTGATTTTGGGGTGGGAAAGTGAGGGGCTACAGGCAAGCGTGGAGCAAGCCCTGCTTGGGTTCCTCCTGGACTTCTGCCCCAAAATACCCCAAATTGAGCCAAAGCTCTGCTCAGAGAGATAACCCCCTTCACAGCCAGGAGACTGAGCCTGAATCCCCTTTGAATTTTCGGAGCTGTTTCTACTCAGCCCTGCCTGTAACAGATGGATGTTTAAATGCAGTGATTTAGGTGAATATTGCATTAAAATGCCTCGGGAGCCAGAAAACGCAGCTTCTGTGGGAGCCCCTTGTCAAGACTAAATCAGATTTCCCCACTTATTGTTGGTGGTTAGCACTGCCACATTTACAACCCCTCTCTCCCAGGGAGATATTTGGGATGCTGGATATGCAGGAGATTTGCTCAGGCACCTCCAAGCTGGGGGGTGGGCGGGGGCACAGCCCTCAGCCTGCGGAGACGCTGCCCCAGCAGCTGAGCAGCAGAAATGTCACCGAGTGCTACTGAGAAAGCAGAAACTCAGCTTTTTCCCCTAAATCAGCCTAAGGAAGGCTCTCCGGGGTTTCAAAATTGAACCTTTTCTCAAACTTCCTTAAAAAACTTAATTTAATCCCTCACTAGACTTTCTTTCCCTAAGGCGAGAGGGGAAGTGGAACCACCTACCCGTATCGATTTCAAAGTATCTGTTTTAATTCCAGATTATTTTAGAAAGCATCAAAAAAATAGAGTTTAGATGCAAAGTTGAAAGTTTAAGAAAGGTCTTTGTAGCTGTTTATGCTGCACCCTCTGATGTGCCTCTCTGTCCATCAGGTAATCATTAAATGGCTCTATAAATTTCATCACCTAACAGTATTCTTCAAAATACCTTAATATAGAGATTATACTGACTTTTAAAAAGTGTTCCCGTAGGCTTAAAGCTCTGTTAAGAATGGTGACATTTATGTTTAATTTATATTTCATTTCTAGGCACAGCTACGCTGCTGTTTGTGTATGTCTGCCTCTTTACCTAAAATCTGCAAGCATACAATGTGGGTCTAACTAATGCTCCTCACAAATACATGAAACTTTAAAAATGATATCTTCCCAGCTAAAACCCATGCCAAATCAAATTGATTCAAAGGAAAAAATGATGAAAAAACAGCCTGAATTCACTGCTTTTCTGCCTGTGCTGCCCTCAGTGAGTGCCCTCTGCTCTGACCCCCTACTTTTTCCTACAGGAAAAGCTTTTTCTCCCTACAGGAAAAAAAAAAAAGTGGTTTTGTTGTTTTTTCCTACAGAAAGTCCTGATGCAGCAGCAAGGTGCATTTATCAATTCAATTGATTTATCAATCAATGCCACTCCTGCTCGCTCTGCCTTGCTGTTAGCAGAGGGACTTGTGGTTTTATGCCAGGGTGAGCTGGGTGCACAGCTCTGTGATATCAGCCCAGGAGAGCTATTACCTTCTGTGCTGGTGGAAACCAAACCTGAATGGCCGGAGAAAGGTCCCTTTGTGCACTATTTTCACACGCTGGGATGGGGGGGATTAACCTAGGAGGGTGATTTTGGGAGGCAATCCCACCTGAGCCCAGCCATCCACACAGAAATGGAGCAAGCCCAG